TTAAAGAAACATTTTGAGAGGGGCAAGGGCATGTGTATCCGTACTCATTTATTAGCTCTTACTTCCTAAGATTCAAAAATTTGCCACAGGCTTCCTGGCCATCCGTGGGATTGGCAAAGTTCAGTGGTGTTGCCGCAAGCTTGTTGTCCCTGGCAGATGCTTGAGAAGGGTCTGGCTCTGATGGGTTCCATTGTCACTGGCACAATGGGGCTAGCCAGTGTTACTGTGAGTATGCTTTTATTTCTCTGTCTGTCTTTTGTTTCTCTTTCTGTCAAAGTCACTTCGACTGAATATGAACTATAACAGCAGCTCTACCTACCTTCAGTGGAAAGGCAACTTTCAACCAATTAAACAAACTTCCAATAAAAACATAAACTGTTGGATCAAACCCAAGAAACTTCAGGAGTCTTCATTACCTGTAACATGCCTCAGAAAAAAAGGGGGTTTTGGGTTCAACAGTATATAAAAAGACATGAAATAGAAGAATAAGAAACTTGACCTCAGAGATTATAAACTATATGTCATGGTCAAAAAGTGTTCAAAAATTTACCTAATAGTCTTTATAATGGTCCTCCATGAGGATCAGGACGTTATACCATTATTTCAGTCATGTGCGGGGAAAAAAGAAGAGACTTGTCTAGGACCAGAGTCCTGTCACTGCCCTGAGACAGTTCTCAGGCTTAAAAATTCTGAACTTTCAGACTGTACCAGTATATTTTCTCGCGAGGACTTTTTATTGTAAATAGTATAGGCATAATTTGGCTTTCATCAAAATCAAAGGCTAAATTCCTGGACCCAACAGTATTTATGAAGGACATCTTTCAGGAGACTATGATGTTTAATACTGTTTATCTTGTATGCTGCACAGACAGTTATTGGGACTACTGTGAGAAAACTATTGATTTTTTTTCAAAAGTGCAATGATAGTTGACAGACCCCTATGGATTACAGAAGCGTTTTTTAATCTGTTAATAATCTTTAGGTAGGGAAGTTTTCCATGCCACCTGTCCTATACTTCTCAAAAGGAGAGCTGGAGCCTGTCTCAGCATGATTGGGAGCGGACACTTTTCTTCCTGACTGTGCTCCTCCTCTTGGTTTTTACACGTCTTCAGATCGGTGGATGGTGGGTTTTTTTTCCTTTCCTCATGTGTTCACACTGCTGAGAAGGAAATGTTTTGTCATGAGAGCTTCCAGGCTCCAGGAACAGGGCTGTGTACCTGGAAAGGCTGCAACCACCAGCAAATAATGGCAGCAATGCGTTTTCTCTCTCCTGCTGTGTCCCTGCTGCCTGCTCTCCCATGCCCGCAGCCCTGCCCACAGCTGTCTCTCCCCCACCAGGCACCTGCCTGGGACGCAGTGCCCCTGGCTGCCCCACCACAGGCAGGGACTCTGCATTGCCTGCTGTGGTTACAGCTGCTCTAGACCCATGGGAGCCATACGCATCTGTCTCAGCCGCTGCTGCCACAGCACCATGGAGAACCACAGAGGCTCCAACTTCTTCACCACAACCTAAATAAATATACTCTAGTGTCAGCCCATACTAAGCTCCTGGCATCCTCAGCCCCGCTGGCCTGGCTGGCTCAGGAGTGACCTGGCCACACCAGTACTACTTAATGGGCATCTGTTTCTTCTCTGCTGAAAGAGGAGGGACAAAGGCCAGCTATTAACAACATTTAATCTTTGACAGGTACAAAAAGTCAACTTTTTCAATGATATTATTTTGTAGAATTGAAAAAAACATTTATTTTCCTCATATGAGTCATGTCAGAAGAGCTGTAACATTCATCACACACAAAGACCAGCTGTCTGCGAGGGTTTTTTCCAATCTTTTTTTTTATTGATAGGGAGGGATCACCGTACCATTACAATCCTTCATTCTTCTAATTCCAGTGGCTCTGCAACTGGCATTTCCTGATTGCATTTAGCAGATGCTATCAAAACAAAACTTCTACCTTCTTCATTATTTAGATTTTTAGACAGCAGGACTCAGGAATTGACTTATAGTAGTCCAGCTGACCTAAGGACTTGATTAAATGTGCTATTTGAAAATCCATTTTAATGTGCTTAGTTTTCTAGGAAGTATACATATCTATATCTGTACCTGTACATATACCTGTATACATATGAGAATGGTATAATGTCATTGGATATTGTGGTGAGATGCACCTTCCCCAGACATACTGACATACGTAATGGAGACAAAATCACACTGCTAGTCACTGTTGTACGTAAAGCCTGTAGGAGCATCTACTGTAGCTCAAACTAGATGAGGCCTACTCAACAAGCATGGGGGGATCCTTGCGTTTTGAATTTTTCTTTTCTTTTAATGTTCCAGACTGGGAAAACATTAAATGGATGGTTCAGTTGTTTCCTCTCCCACTCGTAGATGTTACTCTTTTGGGCATTGGCTTCTGCCTGATTTCACTTGCTACTGCTCCTGTCTGCTTCTTATGCATTCCTTGCTGATACTGGAACCAAGTTATACTGGCTGTTGAAGGAAGGTGGAAGGTGGAAAAGTTATTTTATTTTTATTTAACATTTCAGAGGAAAGACTGACATTTTGGAGATGTCAAATTATAACGATGATAATTGCTCTAGAAATAAAAAGGAAATACACACTCTCCCACCATTGATCATCTTAAAAAAGAGAAGACAGATTTAGATGGCACAGGACTAAAGAAGTTCAGTAGCTGTCTTGATTTAATTCTCTATTGCTGCATTGCAATTTGTTGTGCTTTGATCAGTGTAAAGAGTAGGGAGCCCGGCTACTGACTCCATCCAGGATAACAGATAGGGCTCATATAAAATCACCAGTGTACAGACTAAACTTTGTGCATCTCAGAAACTAGAGGAAGGCCTTATTCAAGTCCTAGCATGATTCTGTGTGTCATATGCAGTGAAACTGAGTACAATTTGATCTGAAAACGGTAATTAGTGAATAAACAGTTATTTTATTTTTAAGTAACAACCCTAAGTGTAGGAATTAAAAACGGTTGAAATTCTGAAAGTATACAAAGAAAGGAAGGAATAGAAAATAAACAGCAAGTAGGAAGGAAGATAACAGTACACTGAACAAAAAAAACTGGAAGGAATATTTCAAGCAGAAACAACGTGGCGGCTTTCTTCTCCTCTTATACTATTTGGTTACATCACATGGTATAAACAAGGTTAAATGATACATTACAATGACATGAAAATGTGTAGATATAGATAGGGCATAAACTGCTGTAACTTCTGTAGAACTATATCATTGTGTTCTGGCTGTGGATTTAGTTAACTTTTTCCTAAGTTTATCTACCAAGATTAGCCATAAATATTTTTAAATTTAACTGTTTAAAACTTTTAAAAAGCTATTTTAAAATCTGTTGTTCCAATATTCTGTATTCTGTACCATTTGTACTCTGTAAAATGACATACTGTACGTTTTTAGGAGATAATAATCTGCAAAATGCAATAGTCAGTGTCCAGGAAGAAACTATTAAAGTATATCACCAGCGAAAACAAAGAACAATGGGTTGCTGGGAACTAGGCTTCAGGGAAATACCTTAATGACAGAAGCAAAGATATTACCAACTGGTATGTAATAAACTCCTTAGCAGATGATGGCTTGGGGAGAAAAGGTCTCGGAATTGTAACATTGTGATAAAAATAATTTGACAATTCTTCAAAATAAAAGAACTGCTTTCACTTTTAAAGACTAACCAGAAGGGAAGTCCTTCAAGGCAAAAAATGCACAATGACCCTCCCCATCTACCCATTTATAAAAACAATAACTTTATTTCTCATCCTGGAAAGGCTATGCAAAAAAGCCTATTGGATTAGAAGTCTTAGTGGAGAAAAGGAAATAATCACCAGCTAGACCTGGGGGTAGGTTTTACAGCTTAAAACTCAGGGAAGAGGCTTTGTACATTTACTGAATCCTGAAGGTGGAGGTGGGTTATTAAGTCAGCGTAATCGGGGGCGGGGGGGGGAGGGGGAAGAATATATATATATTTGTGCTATGCCCTTTGCATTTGTGCTATGAAATGTAATATGACTTCCCTAGGGAAGATGCATGTGATTTAAATTTGGAAGAAAAAGTACGGGTCTGGTTAAAAAGGAGGAAGATGCGGAAAGCATGTGTGTGTGTGTGTGTGTGCACGCATGCACGGACACGTGCGCATCTTTATTTGATAGCTCTTGCAGCTCTCCAAAGCAAGTGGGTCACCTATAATGAAGTGCAGTGAGCTTTTACTTTTTGGTAAAGAAAAAGAAAAAATCCTGCTGCCTTTCCATTTTCTTTTTCTTTCCACTCTCACTTAGGTAATGAAGGCTTACTCTGATCAGAAGCACGTTGTATATTCAGGGGAGTCATCACTGCAAGAACAAAGGCATAACTATAGATAAGTTCAGGCCTGGTTGGAAACTGCATAAAATGACAAGTCAGAGTCAAAACTGGCTAAGAAAATCAGAGATAGGTTGTACTGGGTAAACACAGTGAGATGGAAACAATCTAGACAAGAACAACTCCCCACAAACCCGTTCCAGGGATAAGGCAATCTGGGAAGCAGCAGCAAAGCATCTTGAAAAGATATTGCAAAGTATGAGTCAAAGAGCTGCGGAAAAATATTTTTCTAATCGCATCCAGAAACAGATGTTTAATTATCTCAGAAAACAGTCAAAGTTGGCACTGAAATAATCTCAACAATAATTATTTAGTAAACGGTATGTATTTTATTATAGTTTTATGACAGTTAATACTGATATCTCTAAGTAGTCTTACATTTATTACTCATAACATATTCTGTTTAATTCCAAAGTACAGATTGCCAATATTTCAGGTAATGAAAATGGTATTCTGTTTTTGTACACTGGGCATGATTTCCTATGTGTAACAGGTAGAAGAATATTATAGTACATGTATACATTCCTGCCCAATGCAAGAAATACATGCAGGCGTAGAACTATCCATTCGCACAAAACACTACTAATCACAACCAAGTCAGACTAGCTAAACTAAACTAATTTAGCTTTTACAGCTATACACGTCAGTAGACTTGAAAGCCACACTTGTTTATTTTATCTTGGGGCGCATAAAATCATGGTATTTGGCAACATGGCATAAGAGACATTAAATCGGCTTTTATGCTGTTGTTAAGGAACCCGTAGAGGATGGGATTCAAGCAGCAGGACATCATACCCAGTAAATGGCATATGCAATATACTAATTTAAAATGTCTGTTAGAAATGAGAGTGTCATTAAAATCTGTCACAATGTGAAAAAGGTGAAGAGGCATCCAACTGAAACCAAAAACTAGGATTAGCACTGTCAGTCTGCAAAAAACTCTCCTAGATCTTGTCTTAATTCTGATGATGGATCGGGATACCGTAATCATGTCCTGGATCTCTGTATTTTCTTCTGGTTTCATCTCAAAACAGATAGGTATCCCAGGGATGAATTTACTGGAGGAAGAGAGCTGGCTCTTTTCTGTGCCAGAGGTTTCTGGGAGGTCTCTGGAATGAGTATCCTGATGATGCCTTGAAATAGCTGGCATCACACTTGAAGTCTTTTTACTGTATCTTCTGTGGTGCTTTCTGGCAAACGCACAGCTCCATCTGGAATGGCTGGAGGGTTGCACCTGCATGCCGGTACTCTTAGAGGGATGAAGAGTTAGATTTATCATCTCCTTTTCTTCAAACTTGTTTTCCTTGTTTGACAGTCTGGAACCTATGCTCCTGCAGACGCTGGTGTGACTAGCAGTTAAACACACCAGTGGCAATATGTACTGCATGAACAGTAAGGCTATTGTAAAGGCGATTCTGTAGGAATCAGAAGGCCATGACTCAATACACAAGAGCCTGTTCTCCAGTGCCTCTAAATTCAGAGTTTTGCTGAGGTCCACAATTTTGTGGAAAACTGGCAGAGGGGAGCAAATGGCAAAGCCAAGGGCCCAAATGGTCACTATTAAGAAATAGCCTTGGTTTACTGTTAAATTGCTAGAAAGGGGATATTTTATCACGCGGTACCTGACTGCAGCAATAGATACTAACATCAAAGTTGAAACTAGAACTGATGCGCACTGGAGGAAGGGCATTACATGGCACATGATAGTGCCAAACATCCATTGGTCAAGCAGGACGGATGTCAGTGTGAAAGGTGAACAAAACAGCACAACTAAGATGTCAGAAAAGGCCAAGTTACCAATAAGAATGTTTATTATTGTCTTCTGCTTGCGCTTTAGTAGAGCCGTTAGTATAAGCAGATTTCCCATAAAGCCGGCCAGACTTATAAGTGTGTACAGCCCAATAAGAAAGTACTGTATGTCGTCAACACTACTCTTATAGTCTTCCCAGGCAGAAAAGTTCTTTGTAGCAGCAGAGGTGTTCTTGGTAGGTGTCCTGTTGTTATGGTTTTTGAATCCTACATCCATTTTACAGGCCTCCTTAGAACAAGAAAGGCATTAATTACCATCTGAAGGAATGATGATACTGCTGTTAATCAGAATGTAAAGGAACATAAATTTACCTTGTATCACCTTAACAAGTTAATAGTGATGTTATTCTACTGTGAGGTGGATCCTGCATAACTTCAGGTCAACACAAATTAGTTTCGTAGGTTTTATCATGTGGTGTTCAGGACACCTAGGCCTCCTACCTGGCTGCTGGCATGGGATGATGAAAATTTAAGGTTCTGCATTATGAAGCTGGCTTTTAACTATGCTTTGCTATAGACCACATTGTCAGCCTTTCCATGAGGGAGCAGGTAGCTACAAAAGCAACCCATTTAGAGTCGGTGAGATTACTCATGTGAATAACGGCTCATTGATATGAGTAAGGAAATTACAATCACCATCTGGGCATGTGCCTAATCATTACATGACAGCAAATTATAATGAGAGCACCTGAAAATATATGATGTTTTGACATATGCTAACAACTGCAGTAGTATTTCTTACCTTGCTAGCAGAAAACTGACACAAAATAGATGAGAGCTTTCAAAAAGGATCAGTTTATAAGGAGATCCACTGTCAGTGATCCAAGGTGGAATTCCTAATGTGGTGCATATACAAACCATCTTCTATTAAGTGTTGGACATATTTTAACTGTTGCTCAAGCAGAAAGGAAAACTGCCTACAAAACATCCAAAGTAATTGGATGTAATACAGAGAGGACAGTGTTAACTGGAAGCAAACCCCACACAGCCATTTGAAAATTCAGGGAACTGCTAATTATTCAGCACAGATACATCTAACATTAAAACCTAGCTCAGCACAAAGTTATTCTGCCTACAGAATCTTCATGTATCAATCTTTGTTTTAGAAGAAACAGAAAGACAAGAGAATTCAGTTTAAACTCCAGTTTACCTTAAATACCTGCATGTAATAAAGTTTCAAAGTCAAAATCCCCCAAAGTGCCAATATCCTGTACAAAATTGCTTCATGTTTAGAAATCTCAGGCAAGACTAAACAAACCCAGAACATACACAAGTTGAGCAGAAGGCTAAACCTGTCAACTGAAAAAGGCAGGGCTCTTCAAGAACGCAGCTATTCTCAGTGGGCAGCATCACGCTGACTTCTTCAAAGTGCAAGAATATTATTATCAGTTTCCTCTACATGTGCAGATGTGCTCCTTCCTTCACATCATGACATGTTTGTTCCTACTGTCGGGTGCCATAGGGAAACTTAAACCAAAAAACACCCTCAGAATATTCACTGAGAGTGTGTTGTGATGTGAAGGTCCCTCGTGTAAGATTAGAAATACTTATTTAAAAAAAATTAGTAGAGATACTGCAAGTTTTTGTTTCTTCACTAATGTGTTGGGGAGAGGTGAAAAGAGCCAAGCCTTGCCAGCTTCTCACAATGTTCAGTTAAAGTGCTTTTTAAGAATAGCTGAAATAGAAATAAGAATTGGACACTTTAATTTAGATAATCTAAATATTATAATTGTGTGTGTAGGAGCAGCATGGCATTAATGCAAATTATTTCTGTTTAATTTTTCCATCTCTTGTGAAATAGTGAAAAAACATAATAGACAAACAACACTATCTGAAACTACCTTTGCCTCTAGAGCAACTTTAAAGGAGAAGACTAGAGATTCTTTAAGTGAGCCAATCTCTATATTTCTATATTGATATTATCAGAAGTTTTCATTTTGGTGGGCTTCTCCTTATACAACTGTTAGCTAAAGAAGTAAATAGTTTTTTACTTAATTTGTCTGAGCTAATTTCTCTGAGTTGCTAGCAATCTGAAAACAGCATGATCTGCAGACCACAGTGACTTCCAAAATCAGCTGAAATTTCTTTCTATTCTCTAAATGTGACTCAACATAATTTTTGTCTGAGAAAACAACAGCAGGGCTGTGTCCTGGATAAAATACATTCCCCTACCTCAGGCCTATGGAATTATGTCCCTGTTATGTCATACCTGTACCATTTTTTTCCCTTTCTTCAGCATGGAGGAATGATGGGGTTTGCTATGACTGATGCTTTTGCAGATTTCAGTGTGTGCACGCATCTGTAATCTGCAGACTCTCTTTTGATTCATGAAAGCTATTTCAACTGTACATTGCATTTCAATATGAAATATTATCTGCCTCATATTTTCAGGGTGAACTTCATCTTTGCACTACCACATTCATCTTAGCTGAGAAGTGTGTAGGAAAAACCTTTGCATATAACTGAGGAGTTAATAATGAAAAAGCCATTAGTGTAATTCTGGACAATTTTCTTTTTGCTTGGACACCTTCCTTTTCCAGTTTATATCTTACACAGATTAAGAGAGCATTATGAGTTGAACATCCCATTGCCTGATAGCAGGCTTGAAACCAATCAGGAGTTATTTGAGAAAGGGAAATGAAACTTTATTCAAGAGCTAGATCTGTCCAAATCTTGGTTACTAACCAACCAGTCATTGGTTGAGAATAGGAAGATTAATAAGAAAGAGGGAAAGAAATCCAGTAATATGTTGAGATTGAAAAAACCTCAAAAACTCTTACAATGCTCTCAAAGTGATGATGACTGAAGGAATGAGCTTTTCATTTATTATGTGTACGTACATAAGTAACTCTGTGCTAAGAGGCATCATTCTGTGTAGTCTTCTATTTTAACTGATATTAGATTGAAGAACTAACCTGTAAAGGAGAAACAAACTGCAGATGTTGTTTCTCTCTCAGAAACCTCGAAATTAGGATTGCTTTTAGAGTACCTACAGATATTTTCAGAAATAGTCAAATTCTCACACATCGTCATATCTGTCCGAAGGTCATACTGAGTAGTAACAATACACACTGATGCTTAATTTATGATAGCAGCTGTGTATGTGTGAGAGTTTTGCTGGTCTATGTACCAAAACTGCAGCTTCCTCCCTAGACTTTTTGGTGATACTGGCTGTCATTGAAAAGGTTGATCATAGGCCATAGGTTCATCAGTTCGTGGAGAAAAAGCAGGCACCCCTACTGGTAGGAGAGGCTCTCTATCTAGTTAGTCCATTCCATTTCAATTATGTGCTATGGTCTGAAGAGAAATCTGTATATTTTCATTCAGTTTTGCTTAGTTTTAATCAATGGATTCTATGAAGAGAATTGAAAAAAATCTGGTGGTGTCACTGTTATGTCCTACTGCCACTTTCAGCTTTGGGTGACTAAAAGTGAAAAGGAAGAAACTTTCAAGTCAGATGCACCGTAATTATTTTCTCTTCTAGAAATTTATATTCAGTACAGGTAATGCTAAGACTAGGGCCAAAGAACAAAATTGTATGTGTTGTTATACTGGAACATGTTTATTAAATGAATGTTTACTGAATGTAATTGAAAGATTGTTGCCAGGTTCTGTGGATTTCTACACCTTCACGTAAAGCTCCTGCAGTACGGCTTTAGCAGAATTGTTCATCGTGTTTTTAATGAAATTAAAAAAAAAAAAAAGCGAATATGCTGGGTTTGCTGAAGGAGACATATTTTGTTGAGACACATCAATACTGAGGAAACTTAGCAGGAGTGCCTCTGAAGCCCCGCGTGGGCTCTCCAGCTCCATCCCCCCTGCGCTGTGGCTGCCTTCTGCCCGGGGTGAGAGCCGAGCAGGCGCCATCTCCCCTACCACAGGTCCCGATCTCCATGAGGAAGGAGCACAGGCAGAAGCCACAGCATGCCCTGGTCAGGCCCTGGCTGGACACTCGGGGCACCACAGGAGTCCAAGGTGCAGTGCAGCCACTTCTGCACCATCTCCCAATAGTCACAGTTTCAGAGTAACAGAAAGAGAAAGAGAGGGAATAAAACTATAGTCCGCTGGTTTCAACAGAGAACTGCTGTGCTGACAGAAGTTCCCTTTGCAACATGCCCAAAGAGATTTTATTTTCATTTTGGATGTGTGAAATGAAAGCAGACTTTTCCCCCAAACTTTCAAAAATCGCGAAATGGATCTCTTGCTCTCCAAGCTTCCTCGCCTGCTCAAAAGGAACCAGTTGCTCCCTCAGCTCGAGAGCCACGCGCAGAAAAGATGCAAACAAAAGCGTTCCTCCGATATCATTGATCTTCAGTCCCCAAACTCATATTAGCATGCCACTGATTTCACATGGCTGTGTGCACTTATTGGCATTTATCTTGTGCTTTGTTTTAACAGCTGCTTCTATTTTTGGGGATTTGCTCACCCTCCCTCTGTCGGTTCGTCAATCCCAGTGCGGCATGGGGCCGTAGCTTTCAGGGAAATGAAGATTCCTGAAAATCCCACTGTGGGAAATAGAATTAAATAATATAGCCTCTTTTGAAAACGTTCTCCTCATATTGGAAGTGTATTTCTAAACTGAATGCACCACAGTGCGAGGGTGCTCTTGCACCTGTTTTCAAGATCAAATTTAATCAGTCTGAAGGTACCTGATGGAGATTTTCTAGCTGTCAGCTCCAAAAGTTGGATCACTTTCATCTCCTACATCAATCAGTCAAGCAAATGAAGTCCCCTTTCTGTATTCGTGGCCTGCGTACGTTCCCTGAGACTGTGCTCAGCTACACCTGTGTGAGCTCACACCCTGGGAGCTTTTAAGTCGGTTTGCTTAGGTTCATTTAGTTTCCCATTTAGTTGATTTAGTTCCCATTTAGTTTCAACGGGATGCTTGAGACAGGAGGCTAGGCTGCACGAGGCTAGGCTGCACAAGGCAAGCAGGCCTGCAGCTTCATGGCAGGACCCAGGGTGGATATGAATATTTACTGTAAGAATCAAATGAATGCAGTTATTAAACACAAGGAGTATTTGTGGTTACCTTTTACCGCAAAATGGATTTTATAACAGTTGATGTACCAGGATCTTGAAAGGTTTCAGGTAACGCCTCCTTAAATCACATTCATGTGTGATATACCTCAATGTGACTCTCTGAATACTGTGACTTATTTTCACCAAAATCATGCTTCAGAGGAGTTTTCAGTTGCAGTTGATCTAAGGCCTGAG